TCTATTATTTATTTAATTATTTATTTATTAAATAATAGATCTACCATTAAATCACATTAATTATATATCAAAAGTATTTATGTCCAAAGTTGATTGGACCTAGGGCATAATACTTACATCATTAACAACGTAATTACATTGTTCATGGATCCATATAAAACTAGCTCGACAAGAAGACATTTTGTTTTGAAGTAGGTTGACAGCTGGAGTTGTTAAGATAAACTTTTAATTTGTACCTAACTCTAGAGCCACAAAATTCATATTTTTATTTTCTTGAACTTCCATTATTTGTGAATCTGCACGTTAAGATGCTTATGCTTGATTAGTTATAAACAATGTTTTGAAAATTAGATAGGACCGGTCGGTTCAACCAAAAAAATCAGGAGCCAATCTCAAATCCGGTCCAATCCTCGTGTATTAACCAAAAATGTAAAAAACCAGTATATAACCCGTTGAACCGGCCATTTTAATTGGAGACTGGAGAATTGATCACTGTTTTTATTGGTTAACAAGGGTTTTTTTCGTTAAAGAAATTACTTTGATAAATGGGTTCAAGCATTGGCAAGCCCGATTTTACCTTCCTTCTAATCCTAGTGTTGTTTTTGAAAGAGAAGATTCATATAAAAATTTCTTCAACTTCCGATGTGAAATATGTTCTGTAACCTTTTGCAATTTATATATTTTAATAATTGTCCACTTCTTTCTATTAAACAAATTTGGGCCCTCAAAGCACAAATAATTTCCATTTGAACAAAGCAAATTATTTTAAACACATTAATAGTTACTTTTTTAATCTTTTAAAATAAATTATAGGATAATAAATTTAATTGACAAATATTGATTTATATTTACATTGAATTAGTAATACTAAAATTTAAAAAATTGTTGTTGTTATAATATTTTAAGTTTGTTGGAGTATCAATTTATTCAATTTTGATATCCGGTTCGACCTCGGGTCAACCCCGATTCAATTGTTTGACCCTTGACCATTTTCCCTTTTCGGGACGATTTTTAAAATATTGGTTATAAATGCATTTTTTTAAAAAGTTTTTTTATGTGAATTGATTTTGAAACACAAGGAGGAAAGCTATTGATAATCAAGTTTTAACTTTAAGCCTCTCAACACGTGAACAAATTAAAAAGGCAATAAAATCTAACTACTTATAGAAAGATGAATAAAATTCATTGTAGTTGCAATAGTGTTCGGGACTTCTACTATAGCTAAACAGTGATTTCACTGTAAATATTAGCCATATCCATTTTTTCTTACTCAAAAGGACGGTGAAACCATTTCCCCACGCAAACCCAAACACAAGCTTTCTTCATCATCATCATTATTTTCTTCTCTCACTTCTTCTTCAATTCTTCTCTCGTTTTTTCTGTGATTAATCTTTTCGTGCAAAATTCTCGTAAATAGAGAGTTAAATCTTGGCATGCCGTTTTTCTCAGAATATGATTTTGTTTATTCAAGATTCTACGTGCAAAATTTTTGATTTCGAGTGAATAGAGAGGTATATCCTCAATTTTATTTGATAATTATAATTTTGTTTATTCGATTCACAATTTTTGGTCTCTATGTGAATAGAGAGGTATATTCTTGGTATAATGTAAATTAAAATGCTTATTAGCTTGTTAATTCATTTATGTTTCTTGTGTATCTTATGCATTAGCAATCTTGACAGAAATCGTGAAATATGACTTCTTGTAGCAATTTTGGTGCGGAATCCCCGCACAGACTTTTTGGGTTTTAACACCGAATACTTTTGAAGGTATGGGCTTATCTTATCATAATCCCTAAATTTATGTGTTAGATGTTTGAGTTTTCGTCATTTCATTAATTTTGGGTGTATGAGTTTTGTTTGTTAATGATTGTTCCGATGATGTCGTGAATAGACTTTTGATATGTAAGGCAGAAAAGAAGTATCGTTTCTTCCAATGGATTCAATTTTATCATTCATAGAATTTCCTTTGGTCTGAAAGGACTCATCCAAATCTGAGAATGCAGATTTATCTCTACATGTGATTGTGCAGCCAAAATTTATGCACCACAAATTCTTGCGAGTTTCACCCTTCTCATGACACGCCATTAAAGAAGAAATATATTCTTCATTTTCTGCAAAGTTGGATTTTCAACATGATTTTACCTAAGTTGGTATGACATATGTAACCAATGTGAACATACTTATGAAAGCGATAGCATTCAATATTTGATTTATCTATAGACTTGGACCTATTATAACTCTGACCTTCCAACCGTTCCATTTTCTTTGAGTTCTGATTTGTTCAGATTGTTTCTACTTTTCCATTTTCCTTTTCTACGTCCACCTTCCTTTTGGATTTGTTGCTACTTCCAAAGCATGTTCCTGTTTGTCTTGCCTCTATTGCTGGTTAATTTTCAGCTCATGAAATAGCACAAAATCCTGCCACTCATCAATTGAAAGAACATCAAGATCTTTCTTTTCCTCAATAGAACAGACAGCATAATTAAATTACGCAGTCATGGATAAAAGAATCTTCTCTGTTACCGTATATAATGTAGATAAATTTAGAATAGATTGGGAACTTATCTTTCAGTTAGAAGTGCTGATTTTTGGGGATTGTAATTTATTTAGCTTCCTTATAAATTAAAAGATTGTACAAATATATATAATAGGAACCCGCACAGACTTTGCGGGGACTCCACAGGCCGCGCGGAATTGGTGCGGGGTTCCCGAACAGATTGTGCGGGGAATCTGTGCGGGGACTTCCCCACACGGAATCGGTGCAGACTCCGCAAAGACCGTGTGCGGACTCTCATAAAATTATAAATTATTTTTTACTTATATTTTCACAATTTTAAATCTAATTTTTACTAAATGCCAGAGAAAATTCATACCAAAAATTTAATTTAAATTTCAAAATCATGTTAGGATTATGACAAAAAAACTAAAATCTCTACATCACGCTAATAAAGACATATTAAATACAATAATCGTGCAACGCACGTGGCATCAACTAGTGTTTAGAGAAATCAAAACATGTTTCTAAAAGAAAAGGTAAAATAAAGAGTGAAGATAGAAAGTGTCATTATTAGGGATGTCAAATGGATCGAGCGACTCATCAATTCGATCGCTTGGCTCGTCAAAACCCAGCTTGTGGGCTTGTCATTTAGCCTGAGCCGAGCAGAGGGCTCAATCTCACGAGCTGAACCTGCTCGGCTCGTTGAGCCCACGAGCGTGGGTTCGTAAAAAAATATGAAAAAAAAGGGTCAAAAAATGTGCAAATTTACAAAAAAATAAATATATAAGAAAATTTAAAAAATCACCAGATCTCGAGCGACTTGTGGGCTCGACTTGGCCCGAGAGCTCATGGCTCGTGAGCTCGAGCTCGAGCTCGGCTCGTCTTTCACGAGCCACGAAAGATGTCCTCTATTATTATAAGATACATTTTTTAAATAGAAAGTTTTTTTTAGAGACGATCTTATGATTAGATTGGCACTGCATGTTACTCATCATAACATCGACTTAAGCATGTCTTTAAGAGTAGCCCCTGTTTGATCCTCATTAAATTACATTTCATTACATTTTATTTTTTTCTCTCCTATTTTCAACCACACAATCTTCCATAAAATAATATTACACGTAAATCGAAAATTTTTCCTTCTTTTTCAACCACTCATTTTTTCAATAAAACACTATTCCCCCCATTTTCATTACCAAAAATGGGGGCTAAACAGATGTTAGATCCCGTAGCCTTGTCTGAGTCCCATTTTTTAATCATACATTTTTTTTTTCATTTTCATTTTCAACTACATATTCTCTTAATAAAATAATTTTACATGTAAATCTAATTTTTTTTTTTAAATTTTAAGTCACATTTTCCAAAAAATTACTATTCCAAAATATATTTTTTACCAAATAATGGGACTTATATGTTTGGAAATGGGTTTCGAGGGACTTTAAACTTAAAAAATTAAAATAAAGGTAAATTGGACCTTCCAAATTTCGATAGACAAGTTGCCATATATTCTTACTTTAAAATTATTGCATTTAATAGATTAAAGATTCAATACTTTACCTTTTAAATTATTTAAATTATATTTGAATTGAATGATATATATATATATATATATTGTCCGAGCACGATTCTTAATGGATTTTAAGAATAATTTGATTGTTGGAACAGTACACGAGTCCCATGCAGCCATAATTGTAGATTCAACATCAAGCGAATATCTCGAAATGTCCATCTCTCAAATACAATGTAACAACCCCCATTTGACCCTATTTTTTGAAATGAAAATGAGTGGAATAATATTTTTTTTTAAAATGAGGGGTTAAAAAATAAGGAAATTTTTTTAATTTATGTGTAATATTATTTTATAAAAAATTGTATGGCTAAAAATATAAGAAAGAAAAATGGAGTGGGAGGCCAAAAGGGAGCTAAATGTCAAATGGGTAAAAAAGTAATTTTTGTTGGGATGGTCAATAAATGCAGCTGCCTTTTTATCGTGGTAAAATTTTGCTAAAAATTTATTGAAAATGACTTCCAGATAAGTAAAAACGCGAGGAGAAATCAAATTTTATTTTATTTTAAATTTTAAGAAAAGCAAAATTAAAAAGTCAAAATAAAGAGATCATTGGAGTTTTGACTATCTATTACTAAGAAGATTTTTTTTTTAAATAAATAGTCTTAGAAAATGCTTTAAGTGACTATATTATTTCCCTACTTCCATTTGTAACAAGTATCGTCCATTTAGAAACTAAAAATTAAGCTCTTGTTTGGTGGTCGGAAAAACATTGTTTCGAATGGTGAATTTTTGGTAAATGTGTGATTAAAAAGTAGTAAGAAATTTTGACTTTACGTATAAAATATTTTATTATATGAATGTTTGGTTGAAAATAAGTATATATAAAAAATAATTTTAAAAGAATAGTAGACAAACATGGACGAAAAGAAATAAGAAAGATTGGATGTCAGTGTAATGACTTAAACAGTCGAGGACGTAAGTGTAATTTTAAAAAACTTACCGCCTAAAGCCAAGAGGAATCAAGAATACAGATCTGTCTCGTAGATACACTGAACCCTAATTCGCTTATTAGCGCGCACGAGAACTCAGAACCTCAAAGAAACAGAGGTAATTTCTTACTATTAACCGTGCACACGCGCTTGTATACTGAAATTATCCCTGTAATTTTTATATATTTGTGTAGGAAAATAAGGTGAAGAAGTCCCTGCTTGACGAGTTATTTGTTTTGCGTGATTCGAGAAAGTTGGAGTTCAGTTGCTGAGTTACTTTCAGCTTTGGTATGTTATTGATGACGAATGTGTTTAATTGGATATAATTTTGCTGGCTGGGTTTTGTGGCGTGACGATTTAGTAATTATATCTGTCCTGTATTCGTTCCCATGAACTTTGGTTAGGGCTTTGGAATTGAAGTCGGACGAGATTAATTTCGAATTTGTTGGGGGGATTTCCTTCTGAATTTTTACGGAGGACCCCAATTCTCACTAACAAGTTACAAGATTTACTGCCGATGTTTTTACTCGAGAGGAAACCTTTGATCTTTTATTTTTATTTTTCAGTAGTTTATGCCCATTTTATTATTTTCCCTTTAATTTCTCTATTGTTTGGATAGTGAAAGTTATAGGACAGATATTTTCCTTAGTAAATAGTAGTGAATGGTTCACGTGTTTTTGGCTTTTATGTTTTCCGAGAGGAAAGGGGACGGGCAGTTATGTAACTTCTGACATTACAAGTTTATTGTGTTTGATTATTGATAAAATTCATTACCAATACCTCTTGCGCACGTAGATTCAGCTCGTGTACGATAATTGATTTTGATTAGGTAATTAACGTTTCAAAGAATTGAGACTGCATTTAGTGGAAAGGAATTGTGTTTTGGAATTCTAATTAGAATTGATTCCACCGAAGCCCCATTCAAATCCGTCTCAAGTCCATCTCTCTGTCTCTGTCTTGCATAGATACTAATATCACAATCTCAAACACCCAAATTAATAGATGATTTTCTCCACCATGGCATCAGGACACCTAATAGAGGCAGGACTTGAAGTGACATTATGAAACAAACTACCTTTGATAACAAAAAGAAACAATCTTTTCGGAGTGTAGAATAGACCAAATTTTTTGAAGCATGAACACTGACATTATTGTAGATTTTTTACTGTCATAAGCATCATATTTTGAGCTGGCTGCTTCTTGTGCTGGTTTATAGTTCACATGTACTCGCTAATATGGATTGTAGCAATGTAACAAGACCTGTCCATAGAAAAGTCATAGAGATTAAGCACTATACTTGGGCATCTTTGCATCTTCCTTTTTGGCTCTCAAAAAGATGTTTACACTTCGTTTTTGTTAGATGATTTGCCCATTGATGTTTTATTTCTAACGATCATTTCCAGGCATGTGATAAGCTGTAAATTCCTGGAATGTCGAGTTTATATGTTTGGGTCTGCCAGTCGATCTAAAACAGAAGTTCTATTCCTACATATGCTTTTGTGCCCACTGTATTGTTTCTTACAAATAAAAATAGAACTTGCATAGCTTTTGTGCACATGGCCAATTGTGGGCCGGCAAGATAAAGTCTTCATCCTTGGCCCATAACTACGAACTTGAATTCCTGGACTGTCGAGTTTATATGTTTGGGTCTGCCAGTCGATCTAAAACAGAAGTTCTATCCCTACATATGCTTTTGTGCCCAGTGTATTGATTCTTACAAATAAAAGGAGAACTTGCATAGCTTTTGTGAACATGGCCAATTATGGGCCGGCAAGATAATGTCGCCATCATTGGCCCATAAATATGAATTGAATTCAATTGACTCGTATTTCTGTAAATTTTGGGACGTGTTGCATATTTTCCAAGGCTGTTTTCTTCAGTGCATTTCGGGGAAATCCAATAAGGTAAATCAATAAATATGTGACAATCTTACCTCATCTCATGACACAAATGCTTTGTTTATGATAGATGTCAAGCGCTTGGACAAATATGAGCTTTGGAATCATTCATAGGGATGTAGATTGGGAGTGGGAGAAATCAGGGAGGAGTTTTTGGTATATTTATATAATTGGAAGTTCTTGCTCCCTCTGTGAAGAGCTATTCATCTGCGAAAATTTTAGAGAGGATGAGGAGATCAAATTTTAATTCAAATAAAATATAGCTTTGGAGCATCTTGGAGCATATGAGCAATGGAGCTTGTGGAGCACCGCTCACCTTGAGGATTGCTCTCTTGGTTTGCTTCATAAGTTTTATTTTGCTTTTGATTTGTTGTCATCAAATGTATATCACAAGGACCGAAAATGAATAGGAATATATTGAATTTATTATTATTTCTCATTGTGTAGCTTTAAATTGTTCGCAATTATGAAATATGTGCAACAATGCAGTGAACGTGATTACTCTCAAGGACTGAAAATGAGTGGTCGTTTCTCGCGCACAATCTATGTTGGCAACCTTCCTGCAGATATAAGAGAGTCAGAAGTTGAAGACATATTCTATAAGGTTTGAGTTGAATATTTAATGTAACTCCCTCATTATTTTGGTTTCATGGGGTTCAAATGTGAGTGTTGCTCGGTGCAATTTTGAAAAAGTGCTCTCTTGCTTTTTCTGTTGCATTTGGCTTCTTTACTTTTTTATTGCAGAGTTGTATAGCTACAATGGGTAAGCCATTTGTCCGTTAATCTCTCCACTTACTCCCCAGTGGCAAAAACCACTCTAGCAGAAGTCCTGTAGTAATAGAACTTCATATATAGCAGTACATGTGTGGGGGATGCGTAAAATTAGTTGTTATTGGAGTGTACTGTGACCGAAACAGTTGTCTCTGTGTGCAGGACCAATTTATTAGGAAAGTATGTTCCTTCAACTCTGCATCATAATTCTTGTAAGATTATGTTGACTGCATCTTTTCCACGCATGTAAATCTGCTATTCATCTGGAAAAGTAATAATACTGTGCCATCTTATTATGACATGCCTTTTGTAAATTCGCATTTATTAGCCTGGCAAAGCTTTAATTAAACTAGGCCCCTGTTTGCAATGTTTTGAATAGTGAATTTTAGGAGAATGTGGGGTTAAAAAAGTAGGGAAAAGTTTTGGGTTTACATGTAGAATATTTTATTGTGTGAATGTGTGTTAAAAAATAAATACGTAGAAAAAGGAGTTTTCAAATAATGGATGTCAATTAGGGGCTAAATGTTAAGTGGGGCTCCCCTATTCGGGGTCTATTCTTGAACTGGATATGGGAGTCTGTTAGATTAATGTTAGGTCTCCAATATCAACAACCCCACCAGTTGTAATGTACTCACTAATAATCAACTCATGAACTTTGTGGTTTTTTATTCTAAATGAATATCTAAAGAGTATCAATGTTTGGTGCTTTAAATTAGCAGGGTATTGATGGTTTGTTCTCTCTCCCTTTTATTGTTTTTATTTTTTTTAAACACAGTCCCTTTCTGGCATGTAATTTTATCTCTTCTCAATACCTGGTTCCAATTGAGTTCAATGATGGCTTAAATTTTAAGATATTCCCCCACTTTTCACCTCTAAAAGCTGATTGCTTCTTTATATTATCTGTATTTTTTGGAACACAGGACATAATGTTTCTGTTTCTAGCATGTGTAATTTTATCTCTTCTCAATGCCTGGTTCTAATTGTTTGTTGACGTAAAATTTTGGAAATGCCGTCCACTTTTCACCTCTAAAAGCTGATTGCTAATTTATAGTATATTTATTCCTCTCTTGCAGTATGGTCGTATATTGGAGATTGAATTGAAGATTCCACCTCGTCCTCCTTGCTATTGTTTTGTAGAGGTATTTTTATACTAAACTCATTGACAGATGTATGCGTTTGATTAGGACCCCAAATATTTGTATTTCTTGCTTTATAATCATTTTTCTTTTGATAAATGAGGAAATAATTGGTCTTGTAACGAGTTTAAATATTAACTATATTTAGTTTGAGCATGCTCGGGATGCAGAAGATGCAATCAGAGGCAGAGATGGCTATAACTTTGATGGGTGCCGATTGAGGGTGAGAATAGTTGTTCCTAAAAGTAGCAGATTTTTTAAAACTAAGTCCCTGTTTGATAGTGATTAAAATTTAGATTTTAATCTAAGTTGAAGTTAACAATCGATTTCAACCACATTTCGTGGGATTAATAACTTTTCAACCACATATTTCATCCCCTTTTATTAAAATCTACTAAAAGACTGATTTTAATTCCCACCAAATAGGGGCTAACTATATTTTATCGCTTTTTCTTCTTCTACCTTTTTTTTTTTTGCATTTATTTTATTGATTTTGTGTTCAACTTAATCTTCTTCTTGCTAGGTTGAGCTTGCACATGGTGGCAGAGGGCCATCGTCTTCTAGTGATCGTCGTGGTGGCTATGGTGGAAGTGGCGGCGGCGGCGGCGGCAGTGGTGGTGGTGGAGGTGGAGGTGGCGGCAGATTTGGCACTTCTCGCCATTCTGAGTTTCGAGGTGCTGCCATACTTATCAATATAAGCTTACAGATTTCGATGTATGCTCTTCACTATTTCCAGTGTAAGAATGTTTTGGTGTCTTTTATCTTAAAATGTTTACATGCATACAGTTATTGTTCGTGGGCTTCCGTCTTCTGCTTCTTGGCAAGATTTGAAGGTAAGGGGGATATCTTTTCAGCGAGGAATTTGTTTCAATTGCATTTCTGGAGCTATTGTAATTAACTTGCTGCAAAATGTTTTAGGATCATATGCGAAAAGCTGGGGATGTCTGTTTTGCTGAAGTTTCCCGTGACAGTGAAGGTATATTAAGCCCTTGTTTGTCATTCATTTTTCTCAAAACTTATTTTCAATTGCACATCATACAATAAAATATTTTGCATGTAAGTTCCAAACATTTTCCTATTTTTTAACTACACATTCTGAAAAAAATAATCACTATTCCAAAACTCATTTTCTCCAAATTTTTTTTTTTTTTAATGTTTGTCAAACAGGGACTATGCATTTTCAGCAATACCAATTTGTGTATAATGCATTGCAGATATTAATGGCCTTTATGAAAATATGTTGTCATTGATCTTATGTGACTATATTCAGGAACATATGGCCTCGTTGATTATACTAATTATGAAGACATGAAATATGCTGTAAGTTATTGGAATACTCATCCATAAAGTAGTTTACATTTTGGCCATTGATTTTGGTGACATTTTATTTGTTCCTTTCTAGTTAATTATGTGTTTTTGTCTTTGCTTAGATCCGGAAACTTGATGATACTGAGTTTAGAAATCCCTGGACCAGAACTTATATCCGGGTATGTTTGTTCTACTTTTTGCATTATTAGCATTAAAAGTAATTTTGAGCCCCTCGGACAGATGCACTTTCTTGCAATTGTTGATGCGACCTTGAAGTGTTATTTCATCTGAGAAACTCAACTCTTAAGATTAGTAATTTCTGCTATTGAACTTTATGAATATTAAATGACATCTTTATGAAAGCTATATACCTTGCAACATAATAGAATATTTGTTTTTTGGTACATCAACGAGTTCAGGTTAGGGAATACAAGCACAGTCTGTCAAGAAGCCCGAGCAGGAGCCGCAGTCGAAGCAGAAGTCCAAGAAGGAATAGAAGGTATTTGTAGTTCGAAGTATATTTGCTTGGCTTCACTAGTCTCTATTTGGTGATTCTAAACTACTATGTGTATGCAGCAAATCAATTGATCGATCTGTTTCCAGATCACTATCTAAATCTCCTGTTAAGCCATCCAGGTACATGGGAATGAATGCTTCTTCTATTCATTTGCTTTGCAGTTATTAATACATCCCCTCATCAACCATTTTTTTCTTTGTTTACTTAAATGTGCAGAGCTAGATCAAGGTCGAGGTCATTGTCCAGATCTAGGTCAAAATCATTGTCAAGATCGGCATCTCCTCACCAGGTAATAAAGGATTGACATGTACAAGTATTTCACCATATTACATTCTTCCTGCAATTTGAAGGTATATATATGGCTCGAAGAGGGACCGACTTTCAAGCTTGCTTGTTTGTTTGTTTAGAGCGGTTTTACTTGTCTTTTTGTTTAAAATTCTCACTGTCATTAATTTGCTTCCAGGCAAGGTCTGGCAGTGGCTAAATGTGATGCTCACTCATTCGAGCCTGCTCGTATGCTAGAGTTTTTAGCATACTACTGATAGCTGGGACGATACTGTACTAGAACATGTCTTCACAAGTTTAAATTTAGACTTTGAGATGTCTTGATGGTTTTTATTGATGTCTTGTGGATCTTATTCAGTGCTCTGATTATTCGCTCCATGAATGTTCTTTTTGGAGGCTAAATTCGTAGATTGTTGTTTGCATCGTTTACCAGCATTTTAATCCTTGGTATGACCTTTTTAAGTTTTCTGTGGATTTGGACGCTGTCAGCTTGTAATAAATACAGCCCTTTTTTAATTACTGACTATTTTACGTTATATTGACCGCATGCCGAGCCCCAGTGGTCGTAGATGAACTTGACAGGCCAATCTTAGAATGACATCTAAGCCTGCAAGAGATGGGAGGCCGACCGGGCTCAAGTTGCCGAGAGACTTATTGGGCGTCGAGATCCCTTTAAAGGCATAATTGTAGATACTATGATGGAATTCCACCTGGGCCAACAAAATAATCCTCAGCTGATCATGGCCGGACAACTCGAGGATAACCCATTTTGCCCTTTACCAAAAACTCTGAAAATAGAAAGATGAGAAACATTGAAAAAGTTTCTTTTTGATTTTCGTACTGGAGACCATTGATAAACATTAGTAGTGTAAACTGGAGGAACAAGACGGGTGGGCAGCCAGATGACCTGTTAAACGTCTATGTGCTAATAGGTTAGTATGTTTATGTTTAAAAAAGTAATTTTAGTTTTAAGTTGATTATTTCAGCCTCGGGATTTTATAAACATTCATAGGCGATGGTAAGATCCATCCATTTAATATTGCCTTAGGATGGCATAGTTTTATAAAGTTGAGGTTCAAATGAGGAAAGGCTTAGAGTTGATACTGAGTAATACTTAGGCGAGGAATGTCATAATAAATTACGAATTGCTTCGAGGAGTTGAAAAAGAGCATAGATATGGAGACTCTTGACTGGGACAATGTTTCGAACTAATGATAAACCTCTGGGCAAATAAGAGAACTTGACAAATTGAAACG